TGATGTATATAAGAAAAATGATTTTTAAGGCTTCCAGTCTTTATTTATTCTAAAAAAAATAGATCAATGAATTTATAGACATTTTTAAATAACAAAACGTTTAATTATTTACAAAAATCAAATGTTACATGAAGTAGAAATTTTTAATTCAAATGGCCCCGACTAGTCAAAATGACTAGTCTTGTGTATCTAATGTTAATAATTTATGTGACACATTATATATTTATACTTATATACGTGAAAATATATATATATATTATACATACTACACGACAAATGGATAGAAAAATAAAAATTATTTACAAAGTAAACTTTGTACTTTAAAGAAAAAACTTTAAAAAAAAAAAAAAAAAAAGATAAGTACTGTGGAAAGCTGAGAAATAAAATTTTGATGAACGTTCGTTCGTCGTTTGTGTTTGTACTGGTAATCTTCTATAAATATATCATTGTACCAAGAAGATAAAGAAAAAGAAAATAGAACCAAGAAAGAGAGAAGAGGAGGGGTGGGGTGGGGGTGGGGGGAGGGGAGGGTTGGGGGAGTAGGTACGAAAAAGGAGAGCTAATGTCCACTTAGAACGTTTCTAGCATGAATTTAGTCGTGGTGGAATATTGGCGCGCACCAGGAGTAACCGGTGCCAACGAAACTTCAAGCATTCTCGTTATTTAAGGGTTATAAGAGTTACGTACATTTGAGTTTCATCGTCGACATCAACGAAGAAACCATTCGCCATAAACCGAAGGAAAAGTGGAAACTTCTTCTTTCTACGATTTTAAAGAAGAACCGAACAAAATCAGAGAAAGAAAGGAAGAAGAAGAAGAAGAAGAAGAAGAAAGGGAAAGAGAAAATTAGAAAAAAAAAAAAGACAAAAGATAAAGGAAAATAGAAAGATAGAAAGAGAGAGAGAGAGAGAGAAAATACGAAAAGAAAAGAAACCATCGTAAAACTCTAATATCGTTGCCCCCCCCCCCGATTTCTTATTTCTGACCGCGTGTTATGTCTGCCGTGTTCATCTTTTCTCTCACTCTCACTCTCTCTCTCTCTCTCTCTCTTTTTTTATGTTTTTTTTTCTTAAGGTTTTGTTCTTTTCCTTTTTTTTTTCTTTCATCTTCTTTTCCCTCATTCGGAAGACTAGAATTACATTGCTTTATTGGAGGATCGCGCTATCGTCAGGAAATTTCGAGTTTACTCCCGAATTTCTTGTTGATCTTTCACCTCTTCCATCCCCTCTTCTCTTCTTCTTCTCTCTCTCTCTCTTTCTCTCTCTCTCTCTCTCTTTCTCTCTCTCTCTCTCTCTTTCTCTTCGGGTGCGAACTGTGCCGAGTTATCGTATATTCGAGGGAATAAAAAGTTCGGTATAACCGCTAGATAAATCCAGTTAGCAGAGTGGTAAGTGATTCCGAATGGATAAGAATAAAGTATCACCGGAGCGAATTCGCGACCCGTCCAACGATTTATGATTGATCACGAGAAACGAGAGAGAAAGAGAAAGAGAAAGAGAAAGAGAAAAAGAGAGAGAGAGAGGGAAGGAGGGGGAGAGAGAGAGAGAGAGAAAGAGAGAAGTTCGTTCAGAGTTTTATCACGTTATTATCTACGATTAGCTAGCTCGTGAAATCGTACGACCGCCACACTGCGTTTTCTCTCACGTAAGCTTCGTCGATGTAATCAATTTTCAAAAGAATTATTATCCAACCTAATGCACGTCAAAATTGTGAAGGACAAAATTTAAAAAAAACGAGAGAAAAATTTCATTCAACATCGAACAAGTTTTTTTCCGTGAACAAATTCACTTTGAATTCAAAAAAAAAAAATTTATAAAAAGAAAAACGAGAAGATGAAACTTCATCGGTAAAAATAAATCGATAAAATTTTGATAGTCTCTTTCTCTCTCTTTCTCATTCTTTTTCTTTTTTTTTTCTTCTCTCTCTCTCTCTCTCTCTCTCTCTCTCTCTCTCTCTCTCTGTCTTTCTTTCTTTCTTTCTTTCTTTCACTCTCCCATTTCTTTCATATCGAATATTATATCTCGCATACCAATCGATCTCATCTTTAGCGAAGGTTCTTTTTTTTAAAGCCGATTTTCATTCACGGTGCACCACTCGCGAGAAAGCTCTTTGATAGTTTGCATAGCCACGATTTTCAGCGGCTTTCTTATTCTATTTTTTAACTTGATACGCCTCGAAGCTATATAAAGCTTGAAAATGACAAACGTAGCGATCTTACGAAATCGATCGTATTATTACTTATACGAGCAATCTTCGTTGCTCAAACGTCATTAATAAATCGACGATTATTTATTTATAATGTATAATCATTTAAAGGTAGAGTATAATTTATTCACGAACAATCATGACTTTTGATAATACCAATCTTCTGAATATATTGTTAATATCTTACAAAATATAAGGAAAAAGAAATTTAAACAAGACGAATTGCTTAACATATTTTAAACAACTGGATTATTGTTCTTCAAATATTTTCAAACATTGTACAAACCATATGACCAATATCAATGAACATCGCACGTCTACCAATATTTTGGTACGATGTTTTCTAATACCATCAAAAATTCTCCTAGGATTTTATTACATCTCTAAACCCACATTTATATCGCGGGGTTAGTTACTGCTTTGCTTGCGAAATTTTGCAATATTTTTCGACATATATATATATATTATATATAAAACATACACATCTATAGCAATACCTAACACTCTGTAATGAACAACTTCTCTTCTTAAGAGAGAGAGTATACTGTATATAAAATTGTATAAATAACCAAGACTCACATTTTTCCTTTACTTTTCGTATAATAATTAAAAGATTGTAAAAAAAAAAAAAAGAAAAAAAAGGGAAAATAATTTTGCATGTTCTCTCTGTGTAGGTAACTTTTAAACTGCTACAGAAAGTAGAAGTAAATCTTTCTTTATTCATATTTTTTTTTCTCGATATTTTTGCATCTTGCCGATCGAATGCTTGCCGATTAAAAAAACAAAAATTACGATTTATCTACGAATAATTAATCAAAAATAAATATAAAACTACGAAATCTTTCTTATCTAGGAAAGACGAATTGAAAAAATAAAAATAAAAATAAATAATTTTGCATGCATTGAAATTAACAAAAAAAAAAAAAAAAAAAAAGATAAAAATAAAAAGAAGAAATAGAACAAACGCTCGACATCATCAATCTACTTACGTATATATACACGTCTTATCTAAAGAGAAAAGAAATTGGTTCACGATTCTAACAAACGAACTTCCGGTGATTTTTGCTTTGTCAAATCGGTGTTCTCGATAAAGAGAAGAAGAAAAAGTAAAAGAAGAAGAAGAAGAAGAAGAAGAAGAAGAAAAAAGTAAGGAAAAAGAAGTAAAGATCAGGTTTTTTTTTTCTTCTTCTTTCTAAGAAACCTTACGAGTAGAAACGAGAAGTGACACTCTGTAAAAAGTGGGAATAACGTCCGTCGGGCAATAAAGAGATAATGCCGAGCTTTGTGAAAAGAAGGGTGGAAGGGAGGTAGTGGGGGGTGGAGTGAGGGGGAGTCCGTACCTTCGTGGTAAAGTTCTTAACGGGACGTCCAGCCGTTTCTGAGAGGAGCTTCCATTCTAAGAACGAGGCAATTATAGGGCCATGGTTTACCGGTCGCGTTTACACCCGTACATTGCTTCATCGTATAGGTTAAGACCCAATGCGATCGTAAACTTAGCTGACGCGGTCCAACCTCTTTGGCATTGGCGTTCGATATCTCGTGCTCGCGTTGTCGTCGTCATAGTCATCGTCGTCGTCGTCGTAGTCGTTTCTAGATTCGACCATCGTCGTGAAAACTCGCTTGACCCTTCCTCGTAGTATCAGTAAAAGTAGAAGTGCAAGAAAAAGGAAGATCGAAGGACGGAAGATCAGTGATAGGATCTTTTTCGGAGAGGGTGAAGAGAATAGAAGGGTCTGAGATAGCTGTCAGATGCATTGCATCGGAAGAAATATCTATTTTCGCTTATATCCACGTGAATCCCTGGTGGACACACACACTGGAGACAATTCTTCTATACGAGATACCTTTTTCATATTAAATATAGAAAACGAGATGATGGGGAAACAAAAAAAAAAAGAAAAGAGTAGAAAAGTATTATATCGAATTCTTCGGAATCAAAGTATTATCGTTTTTTATTCTCTACCCCCTTTTTATCACCCCTCTTCCTTCTTCTTCTTCTTTTTCTTCTTATTCTTATTATTATTATTATTCTTCTTCTTCTTATTCTTATTCTCTTGTTCTTCTTCTTCTTCTTCTTCTTCTTCTTCTTTTTCTATTTCTGTGTCCCCACTTCCCACCCCCACGTGCCTGTCTAGTCAAGACAAGTTCGTAACAAATCGGAACGGAAATCGATCGATCGATTCATTCAATGGTCTCTACGACACGATCGCGCGTCCATTATGCGATTAATATCAAGACGCATATTAATTCGCTTTTGAGTAACGTTATTAATGGCCGAAGTGCGGAAGCCCGACGACGTACGATTAAATCGGTCGAGAGTAGTAATGGGTATAGTGGGGTAGTAGTATTAGTAGTAGTAGTAAGTAGTAGTCGTAGTAGTAGTAGTAGTATAGTAGTAATAATTCTCGCTCGGATAAAGGCGCGTCTCGGTAATCGTAACACACAACGAAAAGATTATTAATCAAATTGTGAAATAAAAAATGATAATGTAAAGCGTGTAAACTGATACCAACGAATTAATAATTTCATTTTATAAGTACCTTTCTTGGCTGTTCAAACATACCGTAAACCTTTTTTGTGCCCTTTTGTTCGGGTTACGTTAACGAGAAATTTTGAAAAGCTTTCAATCTCAGCCGCCAGTCTTCAAAACTCTCTCTCCAAAAAAAAAAAAGAAAAAAACAATAGAATAAAACAAAACTAAACGGTAAAAAGTAAAGAAAACATGATATTATTCATGGTCGTTTATTTCTTAACATGTTTTTTTATCATATTTTCTTCTCTTATTTTGTTTGCAGCGAACGCAAAGCCTCTGACATTCGATGAAGTATATAACCAAAGTAGTCCTACCAACTGCACGGTTTACTGCGGCGGGCTAACCAATGGTTTGACGGAGGAATTGATGCAGAAGACCTTTTCCCAATTTGGATCTATCCAGGAGATTCGTGTATTTAAGGACAAGGGATATGCCTTCATAAGGTAAATTACTAGCCATTCTCAAGGGTGACATTTGTTTTCCATCTCTCTCTCTCTCTCTCTTCTTCTTCTTCTTCTTCTTCTGTCTCTCGTAAAATAGCTGAATGGTGGGAGAGAAGATTGAGAGGAGAGAAGTAAGAAGGTACACGACTCGTTAATTATTCGCCAGATATCTAGCAGGTAGTAGGGATAGTTTGCAAGAAATCTTGCAGGTATCATCCTCTGTGTAAATCCTCCGAACTTCAACATTCACATGCGTCGTCTCGTTCCAAAAGCTTCGCGATATCCCTTAAGACTACATCGTGTCGGCGTAGTCAAAACGATGCGACGACGTACGTCACCGTTGTGTCCCGTTTTCCTAGTGTATACTGCAAAATGACAGAAATTCCCTGGAGCAAGTTACACGCGTTTCCTCGCGTGACTAGACGTCTCGTCTCGACTCATAGAAAGAGAGAGAGAGAGAGAGAGAGAGAGTGATAGAGTGAAAGATAAACGAATGGGTAGGGATCGATGATCGATAAACAGACAAAGAATAACGAAACGCACTATTCAAGGATTGTTTGTAACTTTGATGCATGATAAACTGAAAGAAATTCTTTCTTGTTCACATTGAATCAACGCGGAAGATGACATTATCTCTCACTCACTCACCTATCTATCTTTTTCTAAAAAAAACCTATCTATAAATGGTTTAGAAATTTTCGGTAGTTTAATACTTTTTCTATCCTTCCCGTATATTACCGTTAATTTGTGAAATAATTATATCGATCCATTACAAAGTATGATATAAAATAAAATTATACATACTTCAATTAGGTAATATATAAATTCATAAAAAAGATAAGTAGTAAAGATATAAAATTGAGATTAGATCAATCCTACAACAATTTTTGTAATTATTCGTTCTTATTATATATACGTGTTTGTTAATATTAATTTAAAATATTATAATGTTTATATTAATTAATTAAATTATATTCAGAAACAAAAACATTAATTATTAAATATAATTTATTATTAGAATATGATTAATAATAAACTATTCCGTTTCTATAAAACATTTGAAGTAAAAGTATTCAGTACTCAAAGGGTTAATTAGTTATTTCATGAATTAACGGGATTTCACGTTTTACCGCCAACATATACACACATGTATATAAATAACTTGATTAATAGTTCTCCTTTTGGCGTTGCACACGGACGATTATGATCAGCCCACAAAATTTGGGTCACGATTCTCGTCTGACAAGAAATATGGCGACGGCTTGGTGAATCCGTCGAGCATTCGTAACGCTCGAAGGCGTATCTATATCCCTTAAAGACAGCCGCGACCTACCTCAGGACGAACTGTCGAGAGCTGTGGGTGGAGATGGGTCGTGAGCTGAAAGAAGGGATAGAAAAGGACGATAAAGGAGTGTGAGGAAAAGGGGTTTAAGAAAGAAGAAAAGAAAGATAGGACAGATAGGGACAAAAAAAAACCCTTTCTTCTACCTTCTCTTTCTCTCTTTATCTTTCTCTTTATCTTTCTCTTCCTGCCACCCTCGTTTTTCGCTCACATTATACCTACGCCATTCAGTATTCTTTACTCTTTTCTATCCACCCCTCTGAACGATCGTCTACTTCTTACCCTTCGTCGTCGTCGTTGTCGTTGTCGTCGTCGTTGTAGTCTACTCACCCCCAAAAGCGTTCCTACGTTCTCGGTGTGTCTGCCACAGTTCCGCCACCCGTGGACAATGTCCGTCGTTCAGATATCTTCCGTCTAATTGCTCTTCCTCCTACCATTCTTCCGGTACCGTGGCATCATCCCCACCCTTAACCCGGAAATGAATATCTCGGGATGACGTATGGACTTACTTCTGGGCTTTCCCGAAAAGGGACATCGAGGAAAGAGTCGAGGAGTAGAAAGGGGAAAGAAAGGGTTTTAACGGGAGGGTGAGCGAGAAAGGATCCTTTCTTCTTCGCGAAAAAGAAAGAATCTTATCTGCTGCTGGTTATCGCTTCGAATTCGGCTCTCGTCAAAGAGGGTTGAGGGTAGAAGGGTATTAGTCTTTGCTGACGACGACCACCCTTCCTTCCTTCCTTCCTTTCTTCCTTCTACTTGACGATCACAGACCAAGCAAAAGAGAGAAGAAAAAAAAACCAGAGAGAGAGAGAGAAAGAGAAATCGGTCGAACCATTCCCATTGTGTTGTCCCGATCGTTAACGTTAAAAGTGACCTAATCTTCGCGAACTTGCAATAATTCTTCGCCTCCCGACTATTCCAGCAAATTCGGCACGAGCCGCCACTGCCCTTTTACGATCCCTTTTAATCCCCGTCCCGAATTCGATGGATACAATGTGCGCGTCATGTCCAAACTTCCGTTGCGTTTATCCAATAAAATTTATTGTTGCTGTTCAATCGCTTATCGCGATCCCTCTCTTTCTCTTTATCTCTCACTCTCTCTCTCTCTCTCTCTCTCTCTCTGTCTCTCTCTCTCTCTGTCTCTTTATGTCTCTCTCTCTTTCCCTTTTATCAGTAAAAAGAGTGAGGACGACGATATAAAACGAGCTTGTGCGCTTCTGCGCTCACGTTCCCATTCCGTCGAAGGCACACGTAAAAACATTTTACAACTCATCACCGTCCCTGTAACTTTCCAATATAAAAATTTATATCGATCATCGTGAAATAATGCGAACGAGATATACTCACTGCTAACCAACAATTTTTTAAAAATGGCTTCATGTTATCTGCACAATAGTGCATGAAAAATATTTGATACGTGTTTGTTTCAAAAGAACATCACATATATGTTATTTTAATGAATTCCCCTAAAGCATCCCCACATATAAACACGCTCGTTTATTACTGCAGGGAATTTTAATTCTATTATGGATAAATATACATATACAGATATAATACACATATGTGATACATTCAACAAAACATATATATATATATATTTGTGCAATATCATATCCTTCTTTCGAAAAATCTCAAAAGCTTTGTATTTCTCGTTAAAGCACGAAATTTGATTAACTCTATAGCCTACGGCCCCGAGTAGGTATCCGTACACGAGATTATCTTTATAATGCCTCTAAAAACGACGTGTTTATGTCCAGCCGTGTGGCATAACATATCCTCGAGTTTGCTCAACGACGGTAAAACCCCTTCCCTTGATTCTTGGGTAAATGCCAAACGGCAAACCTTAACTTTCCCGTAATTGAAGGGCTCGATATATAAGCTTCTGTACGCGTGTCGGTAAATACAATCTACTTACCCTCCGTTCTAAAGGTTAAATCCTTTCTTTATAGCCAGGATATATATCGGATGCATTGTAAAAGTTACTCGGATTACGTATAACCTAAAGTCAACGACGAAGATTTTTATATTCGGACAGTAGGAAAAAGGAGAAGAAAGACGTAAGAAATAGACAAATGTAAGAGAAAGAAGAAAATTCGTAAAGTGCATTTTCTTTTTGGGCAATGCTCCGCTCTCTGCTGTAGATACATTTTCGTTGGATTGTAAAAATATCAAAAGCTAAGGCGAGATAGCGGAAAGTACGATTTAACATTGGAATGCCAACTACGAATCCGGTAATCCGGATTCGGGAGATTCACAATTATCGTGGTCATTCGTGCGCACAGTAAATTCGCATAAATTAAATGGCTGGAGTCGCTTAGAACGCCCAGTGGCCAACTATTCTACAAAGGTACGATAATAAGGTCCGATGTAACTGGCGGAAAGAGTGCCGAATTCTATCCTGGATTCTCTTTTTCGATTTAGTATACGATGCATCTACTTACTTACACATGTATATATATATATATATTGAAAAGGAACACTAAAAGTAGAATATAAAGGTCTCTACTATTTATTCTCTCTCTTTACTACGATCTTTTTTTGATAGTTAATCTACATTTCATTCAACTTGCTTTCAGGTTTTCGACAAAGGAATCGGCCACGCACGCTATTGTGGCGGTACACAACACAGATATTAATGGGCAAACGGTGAAATGCAGCTGGGGCAAAGAAAGTGGCGATCCGAATAACGCCCAACAAACAGGGCAGGTAAGTGACCCTTTAAGAAAATTGGATCATTTAGATGAAACGATTAGAATAATAATCGTCGAAGAGTTTATACCACATATTATACTCAATGGTCGTTATTTGACCGTGCATAAATATTAATAAAGTGCTTTCATTCGATTAAACACACGAACGGTCATTGATCTCGTTTCTATTATACGCGTCTATCTTGCATCGTTGAAATTGAGATACAAAAGGGCTAGGAGAATTCGTGAAAGTAGATCGCGAAAATTCGTCGGTTCAGAACCATTGGAAAAAGGAAGTAGTTACTGAGTTCGATTCCGGTCCTACCTCCATCCGGTCGTCTCTAACTCGGATTCACTGCTATCCACTGTCACTAAAGCAGCAGGAATATGACCAGTCTGTTCTCATCTTTCTCTTTCTCTCTCTCTCTCTCTCTCTCTCTCTCTCTCTGTGTATCTGTCTGTCTTTCATTCTCTACAATCATCAAAAGAAAAGAATACGAAAAGAGAAGAAGAAGAAGAAGAAGAGAAGGAACAGGAAAAGGAGGGAGATAAAGGACAGAGAATCAGGCAAGATTCCGGTCTATTCAGGTAGCTCTCTTCGGGAGTGTGTTCTTGTCGGGTCTCTTAGCAATTAGCGCCGTTAGGACGAGTAGGTACGTCCGATCTGGGAAACAGTATCCAGAGTACGGTGCTTGGTCTCCTCGTCGGTTCGGATAGTACTTCCGCCCATCCATCCACTGTTACTCGGCCCGTGACATCGCTCTAATTGATCCCTATTCCCATAACGCGTTTCTCCTACCGAGTACTAGGATATCGAGTTACTCCAAACCTCGTCATGCACATACATACATACATACATACATACATGCATATGTATATATAATATATATATATATATATATAGATACGTGCATATATCTATAGATACAGTAGTATCCTGGGCAGTTACCGAATGCTCGACTTAAAGAGGACGTTGGAAACTCTGTCATCGACCATTCGACTCTCCTTCAAATCTATATATACGTTATGATGATAGTATAGGTATGTACGTTAGCATTTTCACGAGGAAACGCATTGTCGAAAGACCGTCGTAACGCGCTTATATTGGTGTCATTAACGAAGTTAGGATCACCATGCGCCGAGATGAGCATCGTAATCTCCTGTGATCGTACGAAAGTACCTGGAAGAAGTTATAAAGCTAGCCAAATAATCGTTATTAGGAATATCCCCTTTTCTTCCAGGACGATTTCGATGGGTGGATGGGTTGGTAGCCTTCTTCTCTCCTTTTACGATCCTCATTATATTAAGGAAAATGTTTAATGTTCTATCTACGATTTCAACGGTCGTTAGAAAAATCCTAATCGATTAGGACGTTAAGAATCGATATTAAAATGAAAATGGAAAAAAAAATTCTCAATTCATTTTCAAATTCAAGCCAATATTCTCGTTCCCTTTCTGTTTCATTGATCTCGGTGCTCTTTCAGGCGTTATCGTCGGCGACGTATCCGTATTACGCGGCGGCAGCTGCTGCCGCCGCGGCGGCGGCGGGCGTCGCGGGTGTCGGAGGCGTCGGTGGCGTCGGGAGTGCCGGCCAGCTAGGTTACTGGTATCCACCCCAATCTTACCCGACAACGGCAACTCAGATGCAAGCCGGTGGTTTCCTTCAGGGCATGCAAGGCTATACTTACGGCCAGTTCGCAGGATACCAACAGGCGCAGTATATGGGGTGAGTTCACTTTCCACTTATTTCTTTCTATGGAATTTTCTTTTCCTTTTCCGTACTAAAATATTGACCAAATCTTTCGAACAATTTTTGATAAAATAATGCAATTAGCTTTAATACAATTATTATTATAATAATAGTTCTTTTAAAATAAGTAGAAAATTAACGAACAAAAGAGTATTTTGTTTTTATCATATTATCCAATCACTTAACGTTCTTAAATACGTTAATCACTTTTTTCTAAAACACTCTGTTTATGTTTGTACATGTGTGTATATAGTATACATTGTAAAGTATCATCAAGCACTGTCACCTGTTCGTTACCAGCTGACCGTGCTTGACTGATGTTACTGTCTAACTGTGGTCAGCCAGCGTCATTGCAGTTTAACCGTAACCATGACTTGACTATATGTAATTTCGTCGTTAGAATTGGAGTTAAATTAAACCATCTGATATTATTATTATTTATAAAAATATTTGATTTGTAAACATTTTTTAAAGTGTTTTATTATTTACTTTCTTTGTAGTTATTATAAAAATGCGCGCCTGTATAAGATAGGCAACCCGTCATACATACGTGTATAAACAGTTTTGACTGCAAAAAAATTCCGTCCTAGTAGATGACGCTCGCAAGCAACATTTTCAATGTGTGTCTGGAGGATTGCATACGAACAGGCGCGCATTTTTATAATTAAATTAATAATTAAATAAATAATTACAAATTAAAAGTACAAATAATATTATAATAATAATATTATATAATAAATTATATCCTCGAAACTTGTTTATTTGAAAGTTTCACTTCTTACTTGTGTGATATGCACACATGTTTTTTTTTTTTTTAGTATCGAAAGAACACCTATTGCATTGAACAAATCAAATGAAATTTACATATTAATTGTATATAGTTTTGAAGAGTAGTACGTTTTTGTTGCATTTGAATATTAACAATGTTAAAATGTACAAAAACAGAATGGGAATGGGTGTCCATGCTGCTGGCACGGCAGCTGGATGGGGCCAAGGATTACCTGGGGGACCACAAATCCCTCATCATCCATCGGTCACGGCACCCCCAGGGGTTCAAGCCGCACCTCCACCTCCACCACCCCCGGCGCAAATGATGGCCTATCCGATGCAACAGTTCCAGGTAACCATTACTTTTCTCTATCAGCACGACGGTATACGTGAATGTTTGTATGTTTTGCCGTACCCCTGTACGCATCGATGCTTCCAATGGTATTATGTTTTTCTTGTTTCTAGAAAATATTACTTTTTTCATTTCAAAGACAGTATTATTACAACTGTCTTGATTTCTGTACATTACACGCTATCATTGATTTTAAATTAATGTATGTTAACTGTGATGATTAACAACGTTTAGAAATTATTTTGTGTTTAACGTACGATTACTATACATGACATATACTGCTTTATATTAATATTCAACATTAGAAAGAAAAAAAAAAAGCAATAAGATATTCTTTTTTTACTTTTGCATGTTTTCATAAGATACGCTTTCTCGATTTTGGAAACAAAAGTTCACGTAGTATCATTCATACCTCATCATATATATATGTATATATGTATATTTATTGGTACATATTTTATTTCGATTAATATGAACAATAGGAATGCATTTAACACGCATCATTTTGTCTCATCGTAACGCGCATGCTCCTTGCACTATTTACTAATCTATCGAGTATCTCACTGGAATAACATCCTTTTTTAATTTATATAGAATATACACAAATATATATATATATTTGATTTCTCTTCGTAAAAAATGAAAAATAAATATACTTGAATAATAAGTTTGACGATTTGAACAGTATGTGTAAGCCAGAAGAGATACTCGAATGTCCATCTTAAAAGACTGTCTTTATTTACATATTTTGGTTCGCAGGCACAGTGATCGCTACCACTATCATCGCACGGCCTGGCTTATCATTTCTTTCGAATGTCACTTAGCATCAAGATAACTGCGTCTACAACCTGGCTCAACCTCAAATCCAGCTTGAAAAGTATCACTGGGCATCGTTCTTTCATTCTATCGTACAGAATTTCTCACAAATGGAAAAGAGAATATTAAGAGGGAGGAAAAATAAGAAGAAAGAATGATATAATATAATAATAATAATAATAATAATAATAATAATAATAATAATAATAATAATAATAATAATAATAATAATAATAATNATAATAATAATAATAATAATAATAATAATAATAATAATAATAATAATAATAATAATAATAATAATAATAATAATTATTGTTGTACATACGTAGATACTTTTGTATCGACGTAATAAAAAAAAAGAAATGATCGAGTTTCTTGTTAAATTAAGAAAGCAAAACAAAACAAAACAATAATAATAATAATAATAATAATAATAATAATAATAATAATAATAATAATAATAATAATAATAATAATAATAATATTAGTAACAGTAATAATAATAATAATAATAGCAGCATAGAGAAAAAAAAAGATAAAAAAAAAAAATAAAGAAAATTTAAAAAAAGAAATAAAAAGAAAAAAAAAATAAATAATAGTAGTCTACGTCGACGAAGTCTAACTAATTACTTAATTCGCAATCGATCGATATCTTTTCGGCTCGACTGAGAGAAAAAAAAAGAATGCCTCGTCCTATCGCCCTTTGACACTTTATACCGATCGATGTGTAGCGTAACGGCTTATTACCGTGTAACACCAATGTATTTTTAGTGTATCGGACTATAGGGGGTCAGAGGTTGAGTCATGGTAAAGGCAGTTTCAGTTCGATTAGTGTCCGTGTATGTTTGACGAGCGATTGCGAGTGAACAAGGTAGAAAGAAAGCGAGAGAAAGTAGATGAAAGTCATGGAAGAAAGACAGTGAGAGAGAGAGAGAGAGAGAGAGAGAGAGAGAGACAGTGAGAGAAAGTAGATGAAAGTCATGGAAGAAAGAAAAGAATAGAAGAAAGAAAGAGAGAGAGAGAGAGAGAGAAAAGAAATGAAAAAGAATGAGAGAGAGAGAGAGAGAGAGAGTGAATGATAAAGATGTCGAAATTATTTCTATTTCCCTTCTTGAAATTCGGACCAAGACTTAACCAGCGTTTGTGTGTTCAAATGGTAAAGTGTGTTCTTGGTTGCGGTCCAGCTAGCGGATGAGGACTGGCTGACGCCTAGCCTTCTAGTGTGATGGTAAGCAAGTACATCCCACCGACAGGAACAACTTCTAAAGCAACAACATTTACCACCACCGACAGCAACATCAACATTTCCGTCACCATCGACGCCACCGCGACAGCAAAAGCAGTAAAAATCGTGCCGCTTCCGGCCTGACGTCTCGCGACACGAAGGGCAATAATGGTCGATAAACGAATATAATACTAGCTTTAGCAAAATATATAAAAAAAAAAAAAAAATGAAAAAGGGGTTTTAAAAGGGGGGGAGGAGGGTGAGAGGGGAGGGGGTAACAGGAATAAGGTGATAGAAAAATTTGAACGATAGAAAAGAGATGAGATGGATTGAAATAAAGGAGAGAGAAAGAAAAAAAAACAAATGGAAGGAAAGAAGGAGATGGGGGCTAGGTGGGATAGGGGGGGGGAAGGTAAGGAAAGAAAAGGAAGAAGAGAGGTGGTGGAGGAAGAGAAGGAGGAGGAGGAGGATAGCTCTATTGTCATGATAGATTTAACGCAAGAAGATCCTTCCATCCTTAACCACCCCATTACGAATTTCCTCTCACTCTCCGTCGACTTTAATTGACTCGAGCTTGTAAAAGGAGAAAAGGGAGGGAAGGGAGGGGGATAGAAAAATATGAGAAGAAGAAGAAGAAAAAGAAGAAGAAGTTAGAACGAATGAAGGATAATAGAAAAAAGAATGATATAAGAAAAATAAAAAAAAAAAAAATAAAAATAAATAAATAAAAGAGTGAATATTAAATTCAGCTATTGTTGTTGGGCGATCATTGATCATCCTCTCGCGCGTTAGTTTCGCAAAAAGAAATTTTAGTAAATTTCTAGTATGAAAATAATTTGTAGGTAATATCTCCGCCGTGTCACGTTAGTGTCAAACAAGCGCTTATAAAAGCACGAAAACACATGAGAAGAGTTCTCGAATGCACGGACCAAAATACACGCGTTCGCGCAACAACAGTTGTTTTAGTTTTATTACAAAACAACAGGCAATTTAACTGATGCACCAAATGTTACGTACGAACGTACGAAACGCACGCACGCACACATGCACGCATGCACGCATACACCCATGCTTGTCGAAAGAAAGGAAAAACAAACAAACAAAAGAAAGGATTAAGGATATATATATATATATATAGAGAGAGAGAGAGAGAGAGAGGAAAGATTATGATAGAAATAATTCGATATAATAGGATATTTGGTGGTATAGGGCACGTGTGCACGTGTGCACGTGTGCGCGTGCGCGCATCTACGATCGTGCGAAATCGATTACCAAAAATAAATTAATCTCACCTCCCTGATCAAAACTATATACATTAATACATACAACATAACTCCAACAATCCTTACTCCCCCCTTTAATCCCCTTTGAGCTGTTTATAGTACGTGCTTTTCGAGAGAAAAAAAAAAGAAAAAAAAAAAGAAAAAACATTTTTCCCAAATGGACCCTAATCGTCCTATGAGAGAGAAAAAATGAAAAAAAGTTGGGGGTATACAATTGGATACCACGATCTGTTTCGTTATTTTTATAATTTTTGGCATAAACGCAGGATAAAGGGAAAAAATAAATATATATATATATATACATATATAAAGGGAAAAAAGAGAGAGAAATATTATATGGTGTTTGTGAACGAAAAGAAACTCGTGGTCGTATCGTCGCGAGATTTGAAAAATAATCTTTGCAATTAATGATGTGTATAAAGGGATTAGATTTAAACTAAAAGAGAAAAAGAAAGAAGAAATGGTATCGAAGAAGGAAAAAAATAATGAATGTACTTGATAAAAAAAAAAAACAGATAGAAAGAAAGAGAGAGAAAGAGAGAGAGAGAGGAATATATAAAAAGAAAATAATTATAAACGAAATACACAAGTAGCTAGTTAGATAGGTATATAATATATTAAAAAAAAAAAAAAACAAACAAAAGTTGCTCGACGGGCGATTCGAAATTCGGCGGCAAAGCAGAGGCTAACTTTTTTCCGATTTAATCCACGAATAAACTAATACGACGATGATCTAAACGTTTTTAATACTGCGCGTGATCATTTACGCAATTACAATTTCCGATAAAATACAAATTCTTCATTAACGTAAATACTATTGCGAACAACAAATCGTACTCTTTCTTAACTTTTACAAACGAGAGAGTAAAAAATAGAGAGAGAGAGAAAGAGAGAGAGAAAGACAAAGATGTAAAGAAGGTAAATCTATTACGGAGATATTTATTTGCTTTGGTACGAAAGTATTTCATAGACGCATGTGCATTTATACATACGTATTTAACTTAGAACAAACTCGAGGCCAAAAAGACAAATCTCATCCGAATGAACGAACCGTCATAAAATTTCAAAAGTAGATGAATGAATAACAAAACAAACAAAAATATATTTGAAGAAAGCAAGAAATAGAGAGAGAGAGAGAGAGAAGATAAAAGATAAGAAAGATAGAATTTCTCGATAAACTCTCGAAGTATAAACATTTTTATTATTAGTTTTCGTCCAAACCGATTTCTGACACATCCGGCGAAACAAATATTTTTATAAAAGGATTGTCGCGGTGCGCGCGCGCGAGCTTCGGGTCTCGTGATGTTCTCGATCGTCATGTTGTCGTCGTCGTCATCGTCGTCGTCGTCATTCTTGTCGTCGTCGTCATTCTTGTCGTCGTCGTCGTCGCCATTGTCGTCGTGCAACCGGTCAATCGCAGTAATAACCCATTGGTGGTTTTTAAATAAGCGTTAGATTTTTATATAATACTAAAGTACATAAATACATAGAACCAAGAATTATAACGATGAACAAAATATTAAGAAGAAGGAGAATACGAAAAAGAAAAAGAAGAAGAAGAAGATGATGATGAAAAAGTAAAGAAACTGTAAAACTCGTGAATTTAAGGACACTTAAGCAATAAACCGTTAAGCTTATATAAAATGGGTGAAGATTAATATAATAGACAAAAATTAAAAATGAATATAAAACGGCTGTAGAAAAAAAAAAAAACACTCCTCAGCCTCTCTGTATATCGCTCTTTAAAAAAAGAAAAAGAAAAATGAAAAATGAAAACTGAAAAAAAAAAAAGAGAAGAAGAAGAAGAAGAAGAAGAAGAAGAAGAAGGAATAAAATAAAGTTTTAAAACTGGCTAAAGGAAGTGTCACGCTTTTTCAACAACGAACGAAGGCTATTGGAGGAGACACGGAGATAGGAGAAATAGAAGAATCGACACGAAAATATTCTCCCGGTGTATTTATGCACATTTTCCGCGTAATTAAATCCTCCGAACGAATAAAGATATAATGAACACAAATAATAATAATAAAAAAAAATAAAAAAACAAAAAAAACAAATATATAAACGAGAATAGAAAGAAAAGAAAAACTTAGCACGGTCTCCACGATGTCCCGAATTTCGACTCGGCCAATTTACAAAAGAAATAAGAAAATAAATTATGAACGAATATCGAGATCGTCGATTATTGTAATAAAAATGATGTGTAAAATAACTCAATATAATAATCTGTATGAATGAACTCTTCGAACGAGATAATGAGCAAATATATATATATATATAAATATACACATATATAACATATATATATATATACATGTATGTCGGTAATTATTACAATGGACTAAAGTTAAGTGAAAATATTTTGAAAAATTTGCTTTATGATTTATTTTGTAATATAAATAATTTCAATATAAAATAAATCATGAAATGAATTTTTGTCGATTTTGTTGCATTTAAGTCCACTGTTATAATTACCATCATGCATACATATATATATATATTTATATATTATATTATACATATGATTACACATGCGAAAAAAATGAGAACGAACGATGTGAGAGAAAGGAAGAAAGATATAAATAAAAAAAAAAAAAAATGCGTAGTTAGAAATATTGCACAAACAGCACGAAAGTTACACATTATAATAATGGCATTGAATATATAATTTCCTTCTCTTGTACGCGCGTTGTGTCTATCATCGGTACAATATTGTATAAGTAAGTTAATCAAAGCACGGCTGCCATAATCGATTCGCGAAATCTGTGTTCGATTATCATTAGCGATGGAGATGGAAGAAGTAGTCAAGTGTTAAGTGTTAGCAGAAAATGAAAGTAGTTAGGGACATAAAGGGTGTGTATGCGTGTGTGTATATATATATATATACATATACATATATATATTTCGCAAATACTTGAGTGGATCGAAAAAAAAAGAGATAGAAGGGGTTAAAGAATAAGAGAGAGAGAGAGAGAGAATAAAAAGAGAGGAATAGATGGAGATAGACGAGTGAACGAGGAGGAAAGTAGTAGGAGAGAGAGAGATGACTGGAAGGAAAGGTTTTCGATACTTGAAAAGGTAGAACAAGGCCGAAGTTGTAGCAACTCGTAGAGCGCAAGCATCATCTATCTCCACGTTCCATCTTTTATCTCTCTGTCGCCTCCGTTTCCCTTTTGTGTCTTCTCTATTTTTTTTTTCTTTTCTCTCTCTCCGATCCCTGCAGCCCCCATCCACGCTCTTAATCTCTCGTTTTTTAAGCACCAACAGAGCGTGGTGCTCTCGCACCCACAAGAGCCACGCGCGTTCCCCAACTTCAGTATATATCTCAACCCTTCCAAGCTAAGGTATATACGTGTAGGTTTCTTCGAGTATCGCGAAATTCCTCTCTTTGAAGCTGACGATGAAATCCGTGTGTTTGCCTATCCTTCAAAAATGAAACTGTCTCTCATCCTGTGGGTGCACGTCGATGGATAAAAAGTCCATGAACTTTTTTCGCGAAACAATGAATCAAAGGAACCGAACTATAGAGAATATATAGAAGAACGTATATACATTAGAAGAAAAAGAACGAGATTGAGAGAGAGAGAGAGAGAGAGAGAGAGAGAGAAAGAAAGAAAGAGATAGTGTTATAGGGAAATAGTGTGTGAGACAAAACGAATGAATAGATGAGAAGAGGAGATAAAGAATGAGAGGGATAGTAATGACAGACAACGAACGATAGATCACTTTGTTATTAATCAAAAGAGATAGAGCAGATCGTGTTTTAAGCGAATCAAAAGCGTTCAACGTTTTCAAATCAAAAAGTCAAGATGATCAAAGAGTGAGGAAGCGTAGGAGAAACGGCAAAAGGGAAAGAAGAGAGAGAGATAGGTGTTTGCCAAGCATCCGGAGAAGTCCGGAAACGTAACTTCGAACGAATGAACGAATGAAC